AACACCTGGATAAGCAAGGAACAAAGCAGAACAAGAACAACTCTTTTTTTGGCACAAATGCTTTTGTGCCCAAGAAAGTGACAGATGTTTCCCCCTAATCTTTACCAAGAAATCTCTTACCCAAACGTCTTGGCTTTAGAGTAGCATTGTAGGTTATATTACAAAATACCCAAATTCAGAAACCAAAGGCAGCAGTAGCGACCGGGATTTCTTCTTTTAAGAGTGAGGCCTGGGTATAGTGTCAACAGCCCCAAACACACCTTCCTTCCAGAGGTACACTTAACGTTCCCACCATAAATTTATTTGTTCGTTCTCATGAAGCGATGATCTAAAAGTTATCAGAAGGTAATAGGACCTCTCGTACCACCCCAAACACCCGCTCTCGCAGGCAAAAATAAACAGCAAGATTTAGTCACCCTGCATTCTTATGAACAAACTTACATGATTTCCTGTTGGAAACGTTCAGGGGCTGGACTAACACTTCTGGTCGTCTTAGAGCCAATCTCCTGGGGGAGAGAAGGGCAATGTGCTATCAATTTCCAGTCCAGATCCATGGTGAATATCACACAAAAATATTACCAGCCTTAAGAAAAAAAACCAGAACTTCGGAAGAAAAAATGAACACAACGCCATCTACTCAAAGTAAAAAATAAATCCTGTACTTTCCAATTTTTATAAATTCTCCCCACTCTGAAATCACTCCTTCTTTTTTTCCCATCCTTTGCATCAGTAGAGTTTCAGATATTAATGTGCTATTTTCCATCTGCTTCATAACAAAAACCGACTATGACCTGGTACTGTCATATTATTTTTGGTCATTATTCATCCTTAGTTAGACAAAACAGAAACCCAAGCCTGAGGGATAAAGGATTCTCGGGCAAGGGTTTAGTGCTTGTTTTATCTCAGCTCCGCTGAAATGATATTTCGCAGAGAACAAAACGTCAGCAGAAGAAAGGCCATGATTCCGTGCCAGTCGCTCACCTTTCCTGGAAATGCTTTGAGGGAATCAAGCCTGCTCTGGGATTGGCATCACCCTCACGCTTCGCTTGCCACCATGTTGCGTCATCTTGGCTCATAATCTGAAGAATATCTCCCTTTTTGAATGCAAGCCCAGCTTCCTTACATGGAATCGCTTTATCCTCGTTAGGGTCATAGTCAAAGAGGGCTTTGATGAACATCTGTAAGCCAGTTCCGTTGAAGATGAATCAATACGAAGAAAAGAAACAAACAGATGTGAAATGGCCAACAGTCTCCTAACTCTGATTTAAGAACAAATTTTTAAGTCGAATATTCAAGTAAACTTGTTGTGACAAAGAGGGTATGTATTAAATGGAAAAACATGACTTCTCTCGGCAAAAAAAAACAAAAAAAGAAAAAAAAAAGGTTTTTAAGGAACGATGACCTACCTTGCCTTCCTTAGATGGTGTTTCCTCTTTGATGCTGGGTATAATCTTAAAGGTAATTGCTCCCTGAGACTGAGCCTGGTATCAGAGGGAAAAAAAACAGAAGAAACTTTCTAGAGTCAACGAGAAAGAAGGTAAAATAGGTTGAAAATGAAATGATTCTGAAAATTTACAAGCTTGGGGTTTCTGCTCTTAGATAGACCAAACTGAGGAAACTATTTTTGTAGAAATTCCTGTAACGTGAGAAAGCGCTAAAGTTTGTCAAATAAGTTGAAAAACATTAACCACTAAACCTACTTTTACCTCCTGTGCACTTTAAAAACGCTGATGAATGTATTACCATCCCTGTTGAGTTTCTTCAAAACAGAAACACAGTATGAAATGGCAAGAACAGATCATGTGCAAGGTTCACATTGTTACCTTTAAGGATCAGTAACAATGTTTTTAGGGACAAAACATCTGCAACTGTCAGTAACGCGGTTATAAATATATGAGTCAATTAGCTGCAAGGCTCATTAGAAAAAATAACGAAGAACACTCATCTCTATTCTATTCCAGTTAGTGAGTAAAATGCCAAATGCAGTAGATTAACTATAAAATGAAAAGACTGTCTGTTCTAATTTAATTAAAACAAGCAAAGACACCCACAGTTCTCTGCTATCTCAGATTGAGTATTCTTCCTAGCAGAGACCTAGTGTAGAGTACAGGGAGCAACATTAAGTATTTTGTAATAGCCTATTATGCAAAAGAATCTGGAAAAGAACTGATATATGTATGTATAACTGAATCACTCTGCTGTACACCTGAAACTTAACAGGATATTGTAAATCAACTATACTTCTATTAAAAAAAAAGTTTAAGTAGTTGTTCCTTTAACACACTCTTACATCATTCTCTTTTTAGCATCTGTCATAATCCTATCTATATAATTATTTATACAATTATTTCTGAATGTCTGTTACCCCCCACTCCCCGAACTACACTGTGAGCTCCTTGAAAGCACTAAGTATCTGGTACATATGTAGGAGGAATGAGGGATGGAGGAAGAGAGGAAGATGGAGAGACAGGTGGGGAGACAGGCAGGGAGGGAGTGAAGGATGCAGGGAAGGAAGGACAAGCTGGGAGAGTTGGGGGAGCTCTCCGAGGCTCACTAGCAGTGTGTGCTGTAAACAAGGACTCAGTTTGGCAAAAAAAAAAAAAAAAAGGCCCTGATTGGTACTGTTTTCCAATTTCCATGGTCTGAATACTTCAACCATAGCCAATTTCAATTCATCACCATGAAGTCACTAAAAACCAAGATGGGAAAAGTCGCATAGCATCAGTTCTTGCAGGCATCAGAAAGCAGGTCGAGTAGGGCACAGAGATGCCATAAAATGGGGGTTTTGAGGGGAGGGTATAGCTCAGTGGTAGAGCACATGCTTAGCATGCACGAGGTCCTGGGTTCACTCCCCAGTAGCTCTATTAAAAGATAGATAAACCTAGTTACCTGCCCCCCCAAAAAAAACAAAAAAAATTTTAAATAAATACAATTTTAATGAGGGTTTCATGTTATAACTATCAGAATTTTATCAAGGAGTGATTTCAAAATATCACTGTTATTGCTTATCATAAAAGTAAGTCCCAAATCTTACCAAGAATTCCTATGATACTGAATTACCTATGTAGAAAGAAAGCAAAGATCTTCATAATCCCTTCCCATTCTTGTGTGTGTGTGTGTGTGTGTGTGTGTG